GAACTGCTTGTTTTTTACTGGTCAATGTTATTCTGCAGCAAGGAAATCGCCTCAGAATTGATGGTGTACAGCTACAAACATGGTTTCTATGGGTTTGCAGCCAAGTTGACAGAGTCTCAGGCTCAAAAAGTTGCCGGTAGCTGCACAAACAAACATTACATTTTGTCTCATTTATGTTTCCGGGCTTATATTTAATGCAATCAATAATGATATGATCATGTTATAGTGTTAGCCAGCCATTAGATTGTCATTTGTTATATAAGCTATGGTTTGATACACTGAACCTTATCAGAATTGCCTGGCGTTGTTCGAGTTATACCAAACAGTCTTCACAGGCTACAAACATCTAGGAGTTGGGATTTCCTAGGCCTATCTGCTCATTCTCCTGCCAATACTCTTCATAACAGCAGCATGGGTGATGGTGTTATCATAGGTGTTCTTGACACAGGTAATTCTCTCTGATGTTTCTTAATCTGTCTATCACATGTTCATTAAAGGTGTATTCTGAAGAAGTAATCGGCCGCAAACAGGAATATGGCCGGAGGCTAAAGCGTTTAGTGATAAAGGACTTGGACCAATCCCATCCCACTGGAAAGGTGTTTGTGAATCCGGAAAGCGCTTTAAGGCCAAAAGGCACTGTAACAAGAAAATTATTGGAGCCCGTTGGTTTGTTGAAGGATTTCTTGCTGAATATGGTCAGCCATTGAACACATCTGGGAACAGGGAGTTCTTTTCCCCAAGAGATGCAAATGGACATGGGACTCACACAGCCAGCACTGCAGCTGGTACTTTCATAGACAATGTCAGCTACAGAGGCCTTGCACATGGAACTATAAGAGGTGGTGCACCTCGTGCTCGGTTGGCAATATACAAGGTTTGTTGGAATGTTCTTGGAGGACAATGCTCTTCTGCCGATATATTGAAAGCTTTCGATGAAGCCATACATGATGGGGTTGATGTGTTATCACTGTCTATTGGGTCTTCAATTCCTTTATTTTCAGATATTGATGAACGTGATGGCATAGCTACTGGTTCCTTTCATGCTGTGGCCAAGGGAATCACTGTAGTATGTGGAGCTGCAAATGATGGACCTTTTGCTCAGACAGTGCAGAATACAGCTCCTTGGATTTTAACCGTTGCAGCCAGCAGCATGGATCGAGCCTTTCCTACTCCTATAACACTTGGGAACAATAAAACTTTCCTGGTATGGAGCTTTTCCTACTTCTTGGATTTTAACCATTTCAACCAGCAGCATGGATCGAGCTTAAAACCGTTGCATTCAAAGTTAAATTGTTAACTGTAGAACCGATGATTTCAGCACAGGCTACAACATTGAATTTTCACACAAATCTTGCAGGGCCAAGCCATATATTCTGGAAAGGAAATTGGTTTCAGAAGCTTAATTTATCCAGAGGCCAAGGGACTGAACCCCAACTCTGCAGGGTAGTTTGATTCATTGGCTCATAACAAAATGCAATGACATTTTTTGACAGAAATAAATTTCATTGTCTAAACTGGTTTGCTTGCAGTGTCTGTCAATTTCTCTCAGTTGATAATTCTATGGTAGCCGGAAAGGTTGTTCTCTGCTTCACCTCAATGAATCTTGGCGCTGTAATAAGTGCTTCAGAAGTTGTTAAGGAAGCAGGTGGAGTGGGGTTGATTGTTGCTAAGAATCCCAGTGAAGCCTTGTACCCCTTCACTGATGGTTTCCCATGCGTTGAAGTCGACTATGAGATTGGAACACGGATTCTGTTTTACATCCGATCTACGAGGTAACATCGCCATCATTCATGATTACCAGAACTAGGATCTCTTTTGATCCTTAGACCCTGTATGTTTGATTGGCAATATGCAGGTCCCCTGTTGTAAAGTTGAGCCCTTCTAAAACAATTGTGGGCAAGCCTGTGTTGGCAAAGGTGGCACGTTTCTCATCTAGAGGGCCTAATTCAAATGCTCCTGCAATTCTGAAGGTAACATTACTTCAATCAATGACCTGCAGAATGTTTTACATCTTAACTTAACTGAGCTTAAAGATAATGACTAATCATTTGGGAACAAGTTTCATAGAAATTCATTCCTTTTAAGCATGACATTAGTAATAACCAGGAGAATTCATAACCTTATTCTTCAAATTAAAGGGTTTCGGTATCCTAAAAAAAAAATTAAAATGAATGCAGAGTAATAACCAGGAGAATTCATAACCTAATTCTTCAAATTAAAGGGTTTCGGTATCCTAAAAAAAAAATTAAAATGAATGCAGCTTGTATTATTTATCCTTCAATTCAAGTTAGATAAGTCCTATGTCTTCAGTCACATGTCCATGTTACCCTGCAAGTTGCAGGTTACAACTTGGGCCATTTTTAAGATATTTGAGCATAATTTGAAAGCATTGTGTTGCATAATCTGAAAATTTCTGTTTGGCAAGCCTGATATAGCTGCACCTGGGGTGAACATTTTAGCTGCTACTTCGCCTCTTGATCGATTCCAGGATAGTGGATATGTCATGCATTCAGGAACATCAATGGCAACTCCTCATATCTCAGGCATAACGGCTCTTCTTAAAGCAATGCATCCTGATTGGTCGCCAGCAGCAATTAAATCTGCATTTGTCACAACTGGTATCCATTCTGTTACCTTAGGCAGTCTGAATTGTCTTAGTAATCTGATCACAATTACAACACTATCTACGCAGGTTTCTCTTACTGTATTTAATCTTCGAAATCTTGATGCAGCATGGATAAATAATCCTTCAGGTTTTCCAATATTTGCCGAAGGATCTCCCCTAAAGTTGGCCGATCCATTTGACTATGGAGGAGGCATTGCAAATCCAAATGGCGCAGCACACCCAGGCCTGGTTTATGACATGGGCTCAGATGACTACGTGAATTACCTCTGTGCCATGGACTACAACAACACTGCTATCTCTAGGCTCACAGGAAAGCCCACAGTATGCCCCACTGAAGGACCATCCATTTTGAACATTAACCTGCCTTCCATAACCATACCAAATCTAAGAAATTCCGTTACCCTCACCAGAACTGTTACCAATGCAGGAGCCTCCAACTCCATTTATAGAGTTGTGATTGAGGCTCCATTTTGCTGCAGTGTCTCAGTAGAACCTCATGTCTTGGTCTTCAACCATACAACTAAGAAGAACACCTTCAGCGTGACGGTCAACACAACCTACCAGGTGAATACAGGATACTTTTTTGGGAGCATCACATGGATTGATGGAGTGCATACTGTGAGAAGTCCCTTGTCTGTCAGAACTGAAATCTCACAACCGTACATTGATGAAAAATAAGAAATACTTGTTTCCACGAGGCTCATTACTTTATGAATCCAAAGTCAATTTAAATAACAGTTTTTTTTAGTTTTTTTTTTCTTGTCCTTTCATTCAATGTTTCCATATTCCGTGTGCTCCCTTGGTCACAAGTGTAGCTTCAAAGAAGTTAGGCCTTTACACACCCTGTATCCCTCTAGTTTACTCTGTTGATGGTCCAATTTTCAGCACAAAGGTTTAGCAATGGATAGAGAACAGAATTGTCAAGATGAATTACATTAATTCCATCCCTTCAAACCATAGTTATTACACTGGCTGGCTCAGTGAGTTGATCATAGGAAACCTCTGCCCCAAAGCTTGATCCAGACCGAGTTTCAAGTTACATAAACAAAAAAAAAAAAAAACATTGACTTGGTGAAACCTGGTTGACACGGCAAGGGTTTTAGTGACTCGATTAACTTGTTCAAACTCAGTTCAAACCTTGTCAGATCAACTCTAAGGAATTATTTTTAAAAAGAATGAAATGACAGATCTAGGTTGATCCGGTGACCCAGTGGTCACCGATCCAGGTAGTCGGTCCCGAGCTGACAACTATGTTTTAAACGGATAATAGAAGCAGAATAGCGAACAGAATTCCAAATTCTGATAGTTGATAATTAATTGCCTACTCTAGTCTCTGAAATGTTATAATAATGTTGGGATTCTTGATTTCTGATGTATTTCATACATTAAAATGCACTTAAATAGAGGAGAAACGACTGCTTTCTGCATGATTTATTTGGTCATGTGTTCTAAAAGAACTAGGATTTGAAGAAGGTGAGGAGTCAAGGAGCAAGGGTGTGGATAATTTGCATGCAAATCATATCAAGAAAAAACAAGAACATTATCCAGCATTTTTTCCGATTTAAACCTCCCGTTTTATCATTTTAAGGCAGGAAACATTCTGTCACACTTAAAAATAGAAGAAAAAGAAAAAGAAAGTGAAAAAGTCTTCAGGCAGGTTAACCTGGATGGCTAATTTCAGCACAGCTTATTTCAACTTGACTCTTTCAGAGTTCCTACTCTTCTTTTTGTCTTTTAGTGATATAGAGATTGTATTTTTTAGGTGCCCTCTTCTCCAAGCTGTTCAAATATTCAACAATTGTGGGTTCTAATTAGACTCCTGAATTTTCTGCGACTGTTGACGTAAAAGAGCAGAATGAAACAAAACCTTATGTGGAAGGTTTGGAAATATGGTGTGCTGATCCAATGTAATGTCCCTGAAATCTTCAAAAACCTCTGATATGTATCCATAGGTTTGATTAGCCTCAAAATCTTGAATGATTGAATTCGATATCAAGTTTTAGCAGAAAGGTTTGACAATCGATGAAACTACATGAAACAGGAAAAATAAATAAATAAATTAAAGACAGGGTAAAGAAAAATAAATAAATAAATAAATTAAAGACAGGGTAACTAGAAGAGATCTAAATAGTGGTTTCGAAATAGTAATTTCTAGTGGATAACTCAGAACTCCGCAGTTTCTTTCGACAATTAGATAGCTGAATTATCAGAGTGTAGACTATTATCAGTCAAGAAAATTTTAAGCAGTCTCTATCCTTTGCAGACTTAAGAAATATCATTTTTCTGTTAGAATTTTTTATGGTAGATTCATCCTTAGTCCTTAAGCATCCTCTACATTCAACATTCGTTTTTTCTTAACTTAAACTAAATTTTAGTAAAGGGTGACTAATAGCACTCATTATGACTATAAATTATCCAATCCCAGAGAGTAAATTCATCACTGCCTCACCAAAATAACAGATATCATGGGAACTCTTTCCATGAGAAAGAACAGAAGCACAACTTCAATGCTTGTGTTACTTAGCACTCTCTTTATTCTCAATGACCGGAACAGCTTGGTTGTGTCGGCGGATAACACAAGAAAAGTTAGTACCTCCAACTGTAAGATCGTCCTTTACTTTAACATATTTTTGAATAACGCATGAAGCCATCCAACAGGTTCACATAGTTTACATGGGTGAGAAGCAGCATAGTAATCTCAAGCTCATTACTGATTCTCATATTGACATGCTCGCGTCAGTTGTTGGCAGGTATGTCTCATGATATAGTAATGCCATTCGTTCTTGAGATATATGACTTGATTTCTTGATTCCAAGTGGCACGAGAATACAGAAATCAGTATGGTTTTTGTGTTTTCCTTGTATATTATTGTTTAACTTCACTTATACTGCAGCAAAGAGGCTGCTGTCAAGTCAATGATTTATAGTTACCAGCATGGCTTCTCTGGATTTGCAGCTATGCTTTCAAAGGATCAAGCAAAGATGATTGCTGGTACTTTCATATTAACTGTTCTTCTTTTTCCTTAATGTATAACTAATTAAGCCTTTTAAAGAGTGACTTGATCAAATGTATGTTACATAGCAAGATTAGTAATTCTTATCACTATTGGCTACCATCTGTCACTTTTTAGAGCTACCTGGAGTTGTTCATGTAACACGCAATCAGCTTCATTCGCTGCAAACTACTAGAAGTTGGGACTACCTTGGCCTTTCCACACATTATCCTTCTAATCTCTCACATAAAGCCAAGAAGGGTGATGGAATCATCATTGGTTTCTTTGACTCAGGTATTTCTCTCTCTCAATCTCAATAGCTAGGCACTCAAATGGATGTATTTAGAAAGAAAGTTTTAATGGTCTCGAAATGATGACAGGAGTGTGGCCAGAGTCGGAAGTATTCGATGACGAAGGGTATGGACCAGTTCCAACACGTTGGAAAGGTCACTGTGATTCAGGACAACTCTTTAATGCCACAGCAGATTGTAACAAAAAACTAATAGGAGCAAAGTGGTTCATTGATGGTTTCTTAGCAGAAAACAAAGAGCCATTCAACACCACTGAAAAACCAGATTACCTGTCCCCTAGAGATGTTGTTGGACATGGCACACATGTTTCTGCTATTGCCGCTGGCTCTTTTGTCAGTAACACAAGCTTTAAAGGCCTTGGTCTAGGATTAGCAAGAGGTGCTGCAACCCGTGCTCGCATAGCCATGTATAAGGTCTTCTGGAATGTGGGACCAGTGATATGCTCATCAGCTGATTTATTGAGAGCCTTTGATGAAGCAATACATGACGGAGTTGACCTGTTGTCACTTTCTATTGGCAGCTTTGTTCCCCTATTTTCAGATGTTGACGAACGCGATGGGATCGCTATTGGTGCATTTCATGCTGTGGCCAAAGGTATTCCTGTTATTGCTGCTGCTGGAAACACTGGACCTCATGCTCAGACGATACAGAATACAGCACCTTGGATTCTAACCGTTGCAGCTTCTACTGTAGATCGTTCCTTTCCTACACTCCTTACACTTGGGAACAATATAACCATAATGGTATTTTCTATAATCTGACATACTAATATCAATTCTAATTTTTATAATAACATGGAAATCATTGTTATGGATTGCTTTATTGAACAATTCCAGTGAAAAATCATCTCCTTGTAGGGTCAAGCCTTGTTTGCTGGGAAGGAAATCGGTTTTACTGGTTTGGTGTACCCTGAGACCTCTGAACTTGTCTACCCGAGGTAAGCAATGGAGTTCATTTATAGGCTTTTAATGAGTCCTCCTTCATGAAACTTCATTCATCATTAATGCAAAGCATCAATGCTGGCCATGAACCCTGATTAGTGACTTTGTAAAGCTTTGTGAAAATATTCCTGTTGAGAAAAACCAGTTACGAAACCAAAATTGTCATTGCAGCTTCTGTGAGTCACTTTCATTTAATAACACTTCAGTGGATGGAAAAGTAGTTTTGTGCTTTACAACAGTAGGTTCAAGAGCTGTTCTAACAACAGCTGCGTCAGCTGTGAGAGAAGCTGGGGGTGTAGGAGTGATTGTTGCTAGAAATCCAAGTGACATGCTAGGTTCCTGTGGCAATGACTTTCCATGTGTCGTAGTAGACTATGAGCTTGGTACCCAGATACTGTTCTACATTCGCTCTGCCAGGTATCAGAATCATTGTCAATGTTATCATTATCATAAATTTCAATTAGCGTAAGACTTTATTTTTGTAATTAACAGATATTTATTACTTGTTTTATGTGAGCAGATCTCCTACAGTAAAAATAAGCCCTTCTAAAACTCTTGTGGGGAATCCTGTGGCAACCAAGGTTGCTGACTTCTCCTCCAGAGGACCTAGTTCCATTGCTCCAGCCATTTTGAAGGTATCCATCTATTTTCGGTGCTTACCTTGTTGTAAAGGTTATGCAGCTTCAAATGGGACAAAAACTAGTTAATTAATGCCTCTGTGCTTCACAGCCAGACATAGCGGCACCTGGAGTAAGTATATTGGCTGCTAGTTCCCCTGCATATCCCTTTGAGGCTGGTGGGTTCTCTATTCTTTCTGGGACATCGTTTTCAACTCCCCATGTTTCTGGAATTGTGGCACTTCTTAAAGCAATTCAACCCAATTGGTCCCCCGCTGCTATCAGATCTGCAATTGTCACAACAGGTACATCCATAACCTCAACAACAACAAAACATTCTTCTAGTTACATGGACAAAGTCGATTTCTGTAGCATTTGAATTTATCATAAATGGCTAACCGTTAGTCACGATTCTTCTTTTCAGCATGGAAAAGTGATCCATATGGAGAGCCTATATTTTCTGAGGGATCCACTTGGAAACTGGCCGATCCATTTGACTTTGGAGGTGGCTTAGTGAACCCAAACAAAGCTGCAGAACCTGGTCTTGTTTATGACATGGGCACAAATGACTACATACATTACCTCTGTGCTGTGGGTTATAATGACTCATCAATCTCTCTTGTTGTAGGAAAAGTAACAACTTGTCCAGGTACCAAACCCTCTATTTTGGATGTGAATCTACCTTCCATTACCATTCCAAACCTGAGCAAGTCAGTGGTCCTGACAAGAACTGTAAAAAATGTTGGTTCTGTCAACTCCATGTACAAATCCTTGATCGTGCCTCCCATTGGCATTTCTGTATCCGTTAGACCTCAAACTTTAATTTTCAACTCTACCACCAACAGAGTCTCCTTCAAGGTTACTTTCACCACAACCCACAAAGTGAATACTAGATTCTATTTCGGAAGCCTGACCTGGACAGATGGTTTTCATGCTGTAACAAGTCCTATATCTGTAAGAACACAGATTATACAGTCATACACCGATGATAACTGAAAAACCAGCCTTCTGAGGCATTATATAGTAAAGATAGGGTGTATTCTCATGATGAACACAGTATAGTATTCAAATGCCCCTGTCTGGTGGATTTCTTTGTCTTCATTATATGACAGATGACACTCAAGTGACCCTCTCTGGGTTATAATAGTTTTTCTCTTAACATGTAGACTAAGCAATAGCACTAAGCAGTACATGGTGAGACAATTCAGATATCAAGGAGAACTGGGCAGCAATATCTTAAAACCATGAAAATTGAAGATTAATCTCAGCGAAACTCACTAAAGTGTTGAACCTAAATGATTGAACTGTCAAGTAAAGGAAAAAAAGGATTGATGGAATGCAGTCAATGAGGTAGGTTTAGGTAGAGTTGCATTAAGAACATCTCAAGAAAAATCAAGATACATATTTATCATACATTTTTATTTTGACTTCCCATCTTATCATTTCAAGAAAGTAAGTATTCTACTACTAATGGAAGAAATAAAAATAATCTAGCAGGTCAGCAAGCAACCTGCATGCCAAATTCATAATTTGGCTTGTTATTTAGTCCTAGTCTTTATTCACGTTGACATTGGAATTTAGAGGCCCTCCTCTTTAAGTTGTTTTGCTGATCATGGAATCTTATATCTGTTTTGAACCTTATATATGTATTCAATGATTATGATTGGGTAAAAAAATGGTTGATTGGATTAATATGATATCAAGTCTTGGAATGAAGGTTAGAATAATTAAAAAAAAAGAGACTAAGTTGATTCTCGAACTTGCTTTCTAGAGTTCTTGAATAAATGGTTTATTTGTTTAAGTGTGTCTTCATAAAGAGTACTTGTTTTAGTTGTAAAGAAGATGGATGGGTCTATGAGAAGATGGATGGATTTATGAGGATATGTATAAACTATAGGTAATTAAACAAGATCACTATTAAAAATAAATACCCACTCCCTCGTACTAATAATCTTTTTTTTTTTATTAGTTACAAGGAGTTCAATGTTTTTTAAAGATTGATTTGCAATTGGGGTATTACCAATTGAGGATTAGAAAGGAGAATATTTTTAAAATTACTTTTAGGACTCGTTATGGGCAATACGAGTTTCTATTGTTGTTTTTTGGGTTAACAAATGCACCAGAGACCTTTATGGACATGATGAACATGGTTTTTAGGTCGTTTATTGCTAGGTTTGTTATTATGTTCATTGATGATATCTTGGTGTATTCAAGGAGTGAAAAGGAATATAAAGAGCATTTTAAATTGGTGCTTCAAACTTTAAAAGATCAAAAGTTGTATGGAAAGCTCTTGAAGGGTAAGTTTTGGTTGGAGAGTGTCGGGTTTTTAGAACACGTGGTGTCTAGGAATGGGATTTCAGTTGATCCACAAAAAATGAAGGTAGTTAAGTAATGGTTTAGATCAACTACAATATTTGAGATTAGGAGTTTCCTAGGTTTAGCAGGGTACTGCAGGAGGTTTATATAGAATTTTTCATGAATTGCTGTTCTGTTGACTAAGTTGACACGAAAAGATGTCAAGTTTCAATGGTCAAAATAATGTGAAAAGAGTTTATTGGAGTTGAAAGAAAGGTTAATTACAGCTCCAATTTTGATAGTACCTTAAGGGGAAAAAAGAAAAAATAAAAAAAGGTGGTTCTATAACTAAAACAAAAAAAAATTAATGGTTTTACCATGTACTGTGATGCATCTAGGATTGACTCGAGTTGTGTTTTGATGCAGAATGGTAAAGTGATTGCTTATACCTCAATAAAATTGAAGATCCATAAGCAAAATTACCCTACACATGATTTGAAGATAGCTACGGTAGTGTTTTCCCTTAAGATTTAGAGACACTAGTTATATAGAGAGACATATGAGATATTTTCAAATCTTAAAAGTCTTCAATATATCTTTCAATAAAAGGGTTTGAATTTAAGACAGAGAAGATAGATATAACTGTCAAGTGATTATGATTGCATGTGTTAGTATCACCCGGGTAAGGTGAATATTGTTATTGATGCCTTAAACAAAAAATCCATGGGTAGTTTGACACATATTCAAGAGATGAGGAGACCCTTGATTAAAAAGTTACAAAGATGAGCGGGTCAATTTTGAGATTTATGAATCAGGAGCATTTTTAACTCATTTTCAAGCTAAGTCAAACTTGGTAGACTGGATTAAAGTAGCTTAGATGAAGAATGAACAACTTTGCAAGATTCAAGACAAATTAGAGTTAGGGTGCCACGACCTGAATTCTGAATTCATGACCAGCAATGTAGAAGTAGTGTCAAAAGAACACCTCACCCATGCTAAGTCTTAGAATGAATATATCAAAAAAACAAGTTATTCAAAAATACGTAGCATTTTTTATGCAGGACAAATAATAAGAATTAAATTAAAAAAGAAAGAAAGAAGCTTTAGAGAAAGAAAGAAGCTAAATAAGAGAAGAAAATGGATTAAAGATATGCAAAGTCTACAATATTTTCATTAATCATTCAAACTGTCTCACAAAATGACAGAGGAACATATAAATAGTAAACCCTACAACATTTCTCTTTTGGGCTCGGCTCATCAAATCAAACTATTTAACATAAATAATTTCAAATAAGTAAAACAACAATAAGACAGGCTCAAATGGGCTAAATTAAATAATAATGAGATAGACCAAAATTGACTTAGTCTCCTAACCAAAGCATGATAGGCTGGGCTATCCTACGTTGTTTCCGTCCATATACTCATGTAGTTTGTGGTATGGGTCTATTGTTCTCACCAATTCTTTCAAGGTTAGAAAAACTTGACCCTGTCTAGTGTAGCACTAGCCAACTCTAATAGTATTCCTAAAGATCTGGATAAAGCTGTTGTAAAGTATCTCTAGTAATCTAAGTGTAATCTAAGTCAGGTCGACCCACCCAACGAACTAGAAACTATTGAACCTCACCATTTCTATTAAAAACAACTTGTTCATCTAGAATAACATCAATATCATCCTTTTGTGCTGATATCAAAGTGATAAGGATAGAGGTTTCAAAAGGATCATTAGGAGGGAGTTAAGTGGTATCTTAAATGGATCAGTTGGAATAGGAAGTGGCTTATAGTACACAACTAGATCCTCAATGTTAAATGTAGAGCTAATGCTAAAATTATATGGTAAATTAAGAACATAAAAATTTGGACCAACCCATTGTAGCACTTTAAAAGGCTCGGCACTATATGCATGTAATTTTCAATTAGCTCCCGACGGAAATCGCTCGGGTACTATAACATAGTCTCCCACATTAAACTCATTATGTAGTCTATGTAAATCAGCTTGAAGTTTATATTGCGCATTACTTGCTTGAATCTATTTAGTGATCTCAGTATATAAATCTTGAATTCTACGTGTAAAAGACTCGGCTGACTTAGACACTCTACTATGAAGGGACTTGGGAAGAAGATCTAAAGGTTTCCTAAGCTTATAACCTTGTACAACATCAAAAGGACTCATGTCTATTGACCTATTAATAGACCTATTATTAGTAAACTGGGTTGTAGAAAAAATCAGATCTTAATTCTTATTATGATTACTAACTAGACACCTTAAAAGGTTGCGTAAACTCCTGTTAACCACCTTAGTTTGACCATCAGTTTGGGGGTGGTAAGTAGTAGAAAACTTCAATTTGATTCCCACCATATGCCAAATTTTTTTTCAAAAATAACTTGTAAATCTAACATTTCTATCTAAAACTATGGTTTGGGGCATACCATATAACTTGACAAACTCGTTAAAATAGAGTTTTGCAAATTTGAAGCATCTGTGGTCTTAGTACAAGAAATAAAATGGGCCATCTTAGATAAGTGGTTAACAATCACAAAAATAAAATCATGTTTCTTTGAAGCACGTGGAAGCCCAAGCACAAAATCCATGCTTACATCTTGCCAAGGGCAAGTGGGAATAGGTAATGGGGGTGTAAAGACCAATATTTTATTTTCAATGCTTAGCTAGTTAATAAGTTCAACATTGACCTACCAATTTGGCTACATCTTTTTTCAAACTAAACCAGAAAAATTGACGTTTCACCTCTTCGATGATTTTATTTCTTCCAAAATATCTTGAGAGACCTTTAGTATAAATCTCCCATATTAAAATTCATGCACGGATATTTTCAGGATACAAAGCTTATTATCTCGAAATAAATATCCATCTTGGAGGTGATAACTATTTATAATACGGTGATTCTCATCCTTCAATGTCAAGTATATTTCTTCAAATTCTGAGCAAGATTCATACTTCTCTTTGAGTCTCTCAAATCCTGTGACTTTAATATACATTACAGATAATAGTGTTATCCAATGATTCAAAGCATCTGTATCTTTCTTCTCTATTCTAGATTTATGTTTCAAAATAAATGAGTATGCTTGCAAATATTCAACCTAATGACCATGCTTGTGATTGAGCTTCTTTTAGGAGTTAAGATAGTGAAGGGCCTCATGGTCAAAGTAAAGAATAAACTCCTATGATAACAAGTAATGATGCTAATAGTGCAAGGCCTAAACCATCACATAAAACTTCTTATCATAAGTTGAGTACTTTTGTTTTGCCTCGTTAAGTTTCTCACTAAAGTATGTTACAGGGTAATATTCTTGACTAAGTACTCCACCTATATCGATTCCCAAAGCATTACATTCTACTTCAAACACTTTAGTAAAATTAGGTAGTTGCATTACTAGGGCCTCTATCATCTTCTTCTTAACCTCCTCAAATGCTCCATTAGCTCATTTACTCCACTTAAACTCACCTTGTTTCAAACAATCTGTAATAGATGACATGATGGTGCTAAATCCCTTAATGAAACGACGATAGAAAGTTGCAAGCCTATGAAAACTACGAACCTCATAAATAGTCTTAGGTTCAGGCTAATATACTATCGCTTGGACTTTTTAAGGGTCAGTATAGACTCCTTTTCATGACACCATAAACCCTAAAAAGACAACTTGAATTGTAAAGAAGCAACACTTTTTGACATTTGCAAACAAACTTGTTTTTCTTAGGGTGGTACAAACTTGAACAAGATGATCGAAATGCTCTTTCTTGGTTTTGTTATAAATAAGAATATCATCAAAGTATACCACCAAGAAATTTTCCATGAATGGCCGAAGCACTTGTCTCAGTACTCTTATAAAAATGCTTCATGCATTGAAAAGGCTAAAAGGCATGACTAGCCATTTATATAAACCATTTTTAGTCTTAAATGTCATTTTCCACTAATATCCCGGATGGATCCTAATATGATGATACCCACTATTCAAGTTAATCTTAGAGAAGATCTAAGCTCCTGCCATCATATCTAGTATGTCATCCAATCAAGGAATTGAAAAATGATACTTGATTGTAATCCTATTGATAGCTCGACTATCTATACACATTCTCCATGATCCATTTTTCTTAGGTGTTAATAGTGCAGGTACTACACAAAGTCTCAAACTCTCTCATATAAATCCATGTTGTAGCAACTCATATACTTGCCATTACAATTTAGCATGTTCACTCAGGTTCATCCTATAGTGAGACAAGTTTGGTAATATGGCACTAGGGACAAAATATATGGCATGTTGAACATCACTCATAAGGGGTAAAACATCAGGTCGTTCAGAAGGGAAAACATCTAGAAATTCTTTCAACACTTCTTTTATCTCTTCAGGTGGCTTATCTGAAAAGTCTTCTACAATCTCCTTAGCCACTACAATAAACACAACAGATTCCTCACAAATCTTATTATCAAACTCCCTAGGACTTATCATGTTAAGCCCTCCTTCTTTCACTTTATTCTTCTTTTGACTATTATCATTAGACCTTAGAGGTAATCCAATAAGATGGATTTTTTTACCTTGAAAAGTGAATGAACAAGAATTTTATCATCCAAAGATCGTTATGTCTAAATCATATAACTAAGGCCTATCCAAAATGACGTGCCCTACATCCATGAGAATGACATCACACCAAAGTTTATCAAGATTGTCAAAGATTTTTATGGGAAAAGACATCTCTCTTTAATCGTTATAGATGTATCATTAACCTAAGACACACTATAGCGTTCAGGGTGTAGAATAGACTTTAAGCCTAAGTGGAATGCACCACCTGAGGAAACTGCATTGACACAACTACCATTGTCTATGATGATCTTACACCCTTTATCTCCATATTTAATGTAAGTATAAAAAATAGCAGACCTTCTCCAATCTTTAATTCCTTTAGGTTAAGTTAAAACACATCTAACCATACCTAACTTGGTTATCTTGATTTAAGTGGATATAAACCTAATATATCCTAGCAAGTTAGACTCATCCTCCTCATCATTTAGATCTTGAAAATCATCGGGATTAAGTTCATATACCTTATCATCACAATTATCTTTTTCACTATATCTTCTTACCCCTTGATGAATAGAGCCTTATTAGGGCAACTAAAGGAAATATGACCAAAACTCTAATACTTAAAACATTGAATTCTTGAGGTTATCTTAGGTGCTTCATGAAAAATACCCTTACCCTTATCTTCTCTAGGTATTTAGGAACTTAAAGGATTGAGTTTATAAGGTGGGGCACCCACTATAGAGTTATTACTACTAGGTTGGGATCTAAAAGGGGTATTACAAGTATCATGACATCTCATCTACTGGCTTTTTATAACCAAGTCATAATTTTGTACTAGGGTATAAACATTATCAAGGGTGGCACACCTTTTAGCACAACCTCTCTTCTAAGGTCATTATTTAAGCCTTTTTAAAATCTACTTAAGGCCATCACTTTATTCTTCCTAACTGCACACCTCATCCTATACTCTTCAAATTGTGTCACATATTCATTAGCAAACTTGCCTCAAGTTATTTTGCAAGTCTAAAAGATTTCCTCTATAAAAACAAGGCAAATACTTTTCTTCCAACTTAGTTTTCATTTCAACCCAATTAGTGATAGGAGGTTGACCTCCCTTATCCAGAGACTCCTCTATAATTTCCTAATAGAGTTGAGCGGTCCTACCATCTTTGCAAATCTTACCCTTCTATTCTTAGATAAATTATACCAGTCAAAGAATTGATCCATGCCACAGATCCATCTATCAAAGATCCACGAGTCAAGTTAACCCTTAAAAGTTGGGGCTTTTACCTTGATATGCCTCATGACTGGCTCGTCAGAGTCATCGTAATCATGATGACCTTGATTGTGATTGTATTGATGATTTCTATGATGAGCTAGTCTTCGACAGGAATCATTGAAACACTCACTATCGTTAAGGTCAACAAGGTCATTGTAACCCTGGTATTGATTATGGTGGTGATTCCTATAAGGAACTGGTCTTTGAGGATTCCTATTATTGTCATTATAATGCTCACTCTCACTAAACTCTCTTACACACAAAGTTTCTGTGGACTTCATTCTCTTAGAAAGGTTGTTCATTTGATTGGACATGTTTCTCATTTTCGTTTGCATAAGTTGTAATTGTTCTTGAATATCTCTAAGAATATTACTAGAGTTCAAGTCTATGGTAGCTATGACTTTTAGATTGTGTACTAAAAAACCACTACGTAAATGCATGCAAAAACTAATCTTGAAACTGAGATCACAAATAATACTTGCAAGTAAAACCCAAAATAAAATTATATCTAATAAAAATAAAAAATAAAGTTATATATTTTTCATTATCTTGGAAACTAAGTAATGACATATTAAACTAGGAAAATACACAAGTAAGCAATGTAAGTCCTCTAAATGCACACAAGTAATCCAAATACAATGTTTTAGTTTTCCCACTAATTTAACTAAGCTCCATAATTAATTAAGCTCAAATTAAGGTAATTTAATTTAAAGGTGGGATATGTAATTTAGTTATGGGCAAGCACAAAAAAATAATAATATTAATGCTAAATCTTGGTTAACAAGTGTAAAAGCATCCTAGGAACGATGATATTCAATGGGTAAAATAATTTCTAACCAAGTGATGTGGCAGTGCAGGATGATGTGACAGAATCTGCTGATGTGGCTGTTGACACAAATGCCGCCTTAACATGATGATGTGTCATATGATATGGCGTTGACGTGGCTGCCGACATAGATGCTGACATGGCAAGTGACGTGGTATTGTCATGGTAGGGTTAATTATTTTGGGAGCTTTTGTTTCTATCTTCCCTACCTCTTGTGGTTTGTTGCTGCTGTTATTGATGATGACGTATAAAATGAGGCTTCATGATTTTGTTTGGGCCCGACGGTGAAAAGAAAGGAGCGGGTAGTGTCTGTGGTGTTGCTGTTGGACGAGTGCCTATTGATCCATTGTCGCTACTGAAGGCAAGGGCATTATGGATGGTGGAAGATGAAGATTTGTTGCGCTGCCCTTGCTGCAGTGAATCACCATTCGATACTGGTTGTGGTGGGTTTGTAGGTGGCTATGGGTGGTGGTTTGTGATGCTGGTTTAGTTGTTAAAGCCGAAGGTCTACTATGGAGGTGCTGTTGATCTATGTCGGAGGTAGTAAATCGGCGTGGATCTATAGGCTAATGCAGTGGTCTTTTTAGTGGTGGTGGGTCTATAAGGGTTTAATTGTATAATTATTAATGTTTGATGGCCAATTAGGGGACTTAATTGAAACAAACCAAAATCAAGGATCAAACCAGGAAATGTGCTAAAATCAAGGGATCTAATGATAATTTATCCAGGTGCTTGATTATAAAATTATAAAAACATCTGAGGACCAAATTAAAAATATTCATTTGTAAGTTGAAACGGCGCCGTTGCACTATTTATTGTCTCCTTCAAGAAATTGTTTTCCACAGTAAAAGGCAGTGCAAACATTAGCAGTAGAGCCACTCCAATCAAGGGGCATGTCTCACGCCACCATGTATGTCGACTGCTACTATGTTGTCAAAAAACATCTACATCCTCTAGCTATAAAAGTTAGAGGAAGGATCGAGTAGAAAATAGTAAGAAGAAAAGAAAAGGACGAGCAGGGGCATAAAGAAAATAAGGAAACAGAAGGAGGGAAAAAGATTTAAAAAATACAGAAAGGAATTAAGAAAGAAGAAGATGAGAAATATATGAAAATAGGTAGGAGCTTGTTTTAAAACAAGGGAAGAACCGCTGCCATTCTCCATCACAATCGCACCGGCACTGCCAACGCCATCGTCAACTCATCATCTTCCTCATCGTAGGAGCCACTACCATTCTCCATCACAAATGCACTAGCACTGCACAACTGAAAGGAGAAAGATGGGACAAAGAGGGAGAGAAAGAGAATAAAGAGACAGAGGAAGACATAAAAGAGAACTAGATAGCATAGGGAGATGATAACAGAGGAACAAATAAACAGAAGCAAGAAAAAACCCAATAGTATCCAGCCTCCATCGTTGTTGTCCCTTGACCTTTGGAGCCAGAGGCAAGGGAATAAAACCAAAGAAACAAAAGCAAAGGAAGAAACCTAAAGACAAAGTCTAGAATAATAAAAAGAATGCAAAACCAAAATTGTTGTCATCTTTAATTCTTCTAAAAACCAGGTGCGTCTTCATATTCTCTTTAATCTATAAATGAGCATATATACTATATGAAAATAATTTAATTACTTTCACACTGTTCATGCACCCGTAAAACAAATTCACGCATACATGAATTCTCAACTAGCTGGGTTACTGGCCTAAGCCAGTGACTTGGCTAGGTTTGCTGGGTCTAGCCCAGCCACATGGGTTAAGCTGAGCCCAACAAAAAAAAAATTCTTCAAAAATTATTTTAAAAAATTTGTGATTTTTGATAAAAGTTTTACTGCATTTTAATTAATATCAATTTATATTTTTATATTGTAAAAATACAAATTCGATATTAAAATACCTGATTTTTGTCAAGATATTAAAAAATAATAATTTTTTTCATATATACGGTCAAGTCTCTCAAAATAAATATTCAACATATTGTATTTTCATACAACAAAGAAAATTTCAAAAAGTATGTATTAGCATGCATTTTAGCTTTAATAACTAATTTATTAAAGCCACGAGAACTAGACCAATATTTTAAAAATTTCAAAAAAAAATTATTTTATTTTTTTCTTTTAATATCTAAGGTTACAACCTTATACGTAAGATGTATTCTGAATATTAAATTCTTTTGTTAACATCAAAACAATTATGTTTTACCCGATAAAATAATGATCTTTTTATCGAGAAGGACTTTTCTTAAGCCATAGACGGACCAACAACTAGAAAGCATAATGAGATCTTAGATTTTATCAGACAACAAAATAATATAACTTACCTTATATAGAACGTATTTAGGGTGCTAATACCTTCCTGTTATGCAACTAGTCCCCATATCTAATATTTGAACCCAATTAGGGTTCCTAGTGATCAAAATATTAGATGGCAACTCCCATTCTATTTTTCTACTAACAAAAGACAAGAATTCCTCATTCCCCGTATTTGCCACATTAGATCAAATATTGAGGGTGAATGTTTTCGCCACGACATCACATATGTGCAACAACATTCAAATTAATTCATCAATTAAATTTAAAATAAAATCTTCAAAATCCTAACATTCATCAAAACTGAAATTTAAAGTTCAAGAAAACATATTATATACATTTTTACATTTAAAAACCTAAATCTTACCTTTAAACTTATTTTTTTCAACTCCTTTCTATTTCTCTTCCAATTTCTCTCTTTTCTGTTCTTTTTCTTTCCCCCTTCACTCCTCTCAGTTTCTCTTAAAATTTAAGATCCCTCTTTTCTTTTCTTTTTTTATTTATATTTATCATCTCTTTATATAATTATTATAATATCTCTAATTTAATTATATTTTCTTTTTAAACCTCTGACAATTTATTGCCTTTTCCTATCTTTTTTTTACATCAAAACATTACAGAAGAAGACATGCCTTAGCCGCGACAATCCCCGAAAAAGATCTTCATTAAATCTGATTCAAAACCTTACCAGACAACGCTGAGTGCAATAGCTACTATGTTATTGTCCACTTGTCAACCTCCCTTTTCGCTTGTCCCTGAATGTCTGTAGAAAAGTCATTCAAAGTCTGCATATCACCAAAGCCATCGATTAGCATCTTCTAGACCTTTTCTTCTATATTAAAGGTTGATAGGGAAGGCGAAACTTCCCTGTGAAGATGATGAAAATTTCCTTGCTTTATAGCAGCCTCCAATGAATCCTTTTCTTGTTGTTTTACTGTATATTGGACATTACCATTATCTGATAAGATCTTTATCTTCCTTTGTCTTCTTCTAAGAACCACTAGGTGTTTCTGTGTTTGGGATATAGGGAAGTCCTTAAACTTCCCTGTTCTGTTTAGATTTAGGGGATAAAATCGTAAGAAACAAGTTTGTTGGGCCTCTTAAAGGTGAAAAGGACATAGTGGTAGAGTGGTTTGGGCTCGATCAGAAACGGGAACAATGATAAGGGCCTTCTCCACCTCATAATCCGCAAGACTGCTCTCTTCTCCCAAAAACTAATTGTTACTTGAAGATATGTTTTTAATATTAAAAAAAATTATTTTTAATATTAATATATAAAAGTAATTTAAAAATATAAAAAAAAATTAATTTTTTTAGAAATAGGGTACAATGCTACCTAGCATACATGGTGGATGTAAAGAAAGAAGTTTCTTAATTAGAACAAGTCCTTGTAGTTAGGAAGTTTATCAATGTCTTTCCCAATAACTTACTTGGATTGCCTCTATATAGGGAGATTGAGTTTTGTATTGATTTGGTTGTGGCTACCAAACCAATATCAATGGCATTATATAGAATAGCGCCAATAGAATTAAGGGAGCTAAAGGAGCAACTGTAGGATTTGTTGGATAAAAAGTTTATCCGACCAAGTATGTCCCTTTAAAGAGGCCTGATGTTATTTGTAAAGAAGAAAGATTGATCTTTAAGATTATGTATAGATTATAGGCAACTGAATTGGGTGATAGTTCGAAATAAATACCCACTCCCTTGTATTGATGATTTCTTTGACCAATTGCAGGGAGTTCAATTCTTTTCTAAGATTAATCTTTGATCTAGATATCATTAGTTAAAGGTTAGGGAGACAGACATTTCAAAAACAAGTTTTAAAACTCGGTATGGTCATTATGAATTCTTAGTGATGTCTTTTGGATTGACGAATGCACCAATAACTTTTATGGACTTGATGAATATAATGTTTGGCCAATTTATAAATTGATTTGTAATAGTTTTTATTGATGATATTTTGGTCTATTTGAGGTCTAGAGAAGAGCATGAGCAACATTTAAGAATGATGCTTTAAACTTCGCGAGATCATTAACTATATGGCAACTTCTTAAAGAGTGAGTTTTGGTTGGAGAGTGTAGCATTTCTTGGGTATGTAGTGTCAAGGAATGGGATTGAGGTCGATCCTTAAAAGATTAAAGTAGTTAAGCAATGACTTAAGCCTATTTCGATGATAGAGATTAGAAGTTTCTTGGGTTTGACCAGTTAATATCGGAGGTTTGTAGAGATCTTTTCTTGAATTTTTGCACCATTAACTAAGTTAACATAGAAGAATGTTAAGTTTCAGTGGTTTAAAGCTTGTGAGAAAAATTTCTTAGAGTTGCAAAAGAGATTGACTATAGCGTCTATTCTTTCAGTACCATCAGGTTCTGGTGGTTACGCAATGTATTATGATACTTCGAGAGTGGGGTTATGATGTGTTCTAATACAACATGGTAAGGTTATTGCCTATGCTTCACAACAGCTAAAGAAGTATGAATAAAACTATCCTACACATGATTTAGAGATGGCGGCTATAATTTATACTTTGAAGATTTAGAGGCACTACTTGTATGGTGAAACTTGTGAGATCTTTATAGATCATAAAGTTTGAAATACATCTTTCAAAAGAGGGATCTAAACTTGAGGTAGAGAAGATGGATGGAACTGCTGGAGGATTATGATTGTACTATATAGTATCACCTAAGTAGGGCAAATATAGTTGCTGATGCTTTGAGTTTAAATTCATCAAGGAGCTTAGCTCATATTCAGGAGGTACGAAGACCTCTGATTAGGGAGTTGTATGAGTTAGTGGATGAAGGAGTTAGATTTAATCTTAGTAAAGCTAGAGCAATGGTTCCTCATTTTCAGGTTAAGTCAGATTTGTTTGATAAGATAAAAGCAACTTAGAAGAAAGATGATTATCTACTCAAGATCATAAATGAGGTTGAGTAGGATAAGGCTGTAGGTTTTATGATAGGTGATGATGATGTGCTGAGATATAGGGATAGGCTTTATGTACCTGATATAGATGATCTGAGAAAAGAATTGATAGTAAAGGCACATCAGTCAGTTTACATAATGCATCTAGGTTCCACTAAAACATATAAAGTACTTAAGGTGTGTTGTTGGTGGAATAAGATAAAGGCTAATGTAACCGATTTTGTTTCTAGGTGTTTGACCTGTCAAAGGGTAAATGGTAAACACCAGAAACATCTTGGATTGTTACAACCATTGTTGATTCCAGAATAAAAATGGAAAAGGATCACAATGGACTTTGTGACAGGATTGCCTAGGAGTCAGAAGGGTTATGATTCGATATGGGTAATGATTGATAGGTTGACAAAATCAACCCATTTTCTGCTAGTTAAGATTATTTATGGATATGCAAAGTTCATGGAATTGTTTATTAATGAGATTGTATGGTTGCATGTAAGGTTGTTAAAATCGCATTTTGACTCGCAAAATCATATGATTTTACGAGTCAAAATGTGCTTTACGTGCTGAATCATTTGAAAAAATAAAAAATGGGTGGAATCAGGTTGAAATCGTTAAAATCGTGCAAAATCGCAATTTCAAGACCGATTTTACAATTGTAACAAAATGTCCCCCTATGGTCCAATTATCAGGCTTGCCTATTGGCTATGGAATTGTACAGTCATGCCATATGGTCTTTACTCTTTAGTCACAAAAGAGTCTTTAGTCTTCACTCCTTCTTTTTCACCAAACAAATCCCTAATCCCTTTTTCTAATTAACCAACCAGGCACCAGCAATTACAAAAGCAGCGACAACGATGTCAGGATCATGGTCTAGTCTTCACTCCTTCTCTTTCCTCAAACAAATCCCTAATCCCCTTCTCTAATCATCAGTGCTCACAATCGCGACTTCCTTTTCATTAATAGTGACGACGATCTCCTCAATAGCTCATGGCTTTGGGCTTCCTTTTCAATCTTCATAAACAGCGGCATGCTAATAACGATCTCCTTTCTTTCCCATCATCAACAACTGATGGCTTCCTCTTCATCAATAGTAGTAGGAGACATCAGGCCTCTTCACTAGCAACCATTCAGCATTCATCATCAACTGCTCTTCAACGTAAGTTGATTTTACCTTCATCATCACCGCTACAGTAATTGATTTTGCCCCGTGAATTATAATTGTATATTCCCCAGTAATAGATTTTGATTTTGCCCTGTTACCCTATAGTTATTAATTGCAGTTTTGATTTTTCCCGATCTTGTAATTTGTATATTTATAATGTTGAATTAAATTGACTGGAATTGATCAGGAGAAAATTAGAATGGAAATTGCTGAATTATACTAAATTGAATGCCATTTTAGTATATATTTTGACTGAATTGAATTTAATTAATTAGGTGAAAATTGATAAAAGGAGTATTCAGGTTTAGGAAGAAACGCAAGTTAAGTCCTCAATTCATTGGACTATATGAGATTCTGAAGAGAGTTGTGGCAGTTGCTTATAAGTTAGCATTACCACCAAACTTGTCTGATATCCATCTGGTATTTTATGTTTCTATGCTAAGGAAGTAAATGTTAGATCCATCATATGTATTAGAGGTTCATCCCATTGAAATGAGAGATGATATGGTTTATGAGGTGCAACCAGAAGCTATAATTGATCGACAATTGAGAAAGCTTAGGTCGAAGGATATAACTTTAATGAAAGTGAAATGTAAAGGTCATTCATGTGAGGAAGTGATATGAAAGCTCGAGGATAAGATGCATGAGTATCCTAATCTTTTCGATAATTTCAGTAAGCATTCAATCTTTTCTATTAAGTTTTGAGGATAAAACTCTTATAAGGTGGGGAGATTGTAATGTTTTGAATTAAAAGATATAGGAAAAGGTTATAAACCCTTAAAGGCTTAGATATAGGAATAAATGAATAAAGGGTATTGTGCTAATTCAACAAAACTTGATAAATATAAATAGAAAAAAATAGAGAGATCAGAAATTAAGAGTTAAAAACTGACGAGAGAAGAGAACAAAAGGGAAAGAAGAAAAAAAGAAAAGAGAGAAATTAGAAGGCAAAATAGAAAGAAGTTTGAGAAAAAATAAGTTTAAAGGTAAGATTATATATAAATATATGTTATTTAGGCTTTGAATTTCTGTTTTGGTTGAATGTTAGGGTTTTGCAGATTTGTTTTTAGATTTATTGATAAATAAATTTGAATGTTATAGGGTTGATTGTCGTGAGTAATAAATTGATAATTGATTTTGAGAGATTGTAAGTAAATATGATAATTTTGAGTTATGATTTTATTTGAATGATGAATTTGTGTTAGAAATCATGAGACAAGAGTAGGTAATCTGTGAAAATTCTGGGTTTGAGGTTGAAAATGACAAAATTCTGGTTGGATCCCTCAATTTGTGAAAATTACAGTTTAGTCCCTAACTTTGGAAAATTACAAATTGGTCCCTAGAGAATATTTCGAGATTCTGAACAGAATAAAAGATGAATTATAGGCAAAATTCTAGTATAGTTAAGAAATTTTAACACTTCTAATTTGGTCTTTGAATTTGATAAAAATTACACTTTGACCCTAAAAATTTGAAAAACTTCCAAAATGGTCACTGGAACATAATGAGATATTCTGGACAGAATTGACGATTAAATATGTTCATAATTTCAGTATAGTCATGGATTTATGATATTTTTAGTTTGGTCCTTCAATTTGACAAAAGTTACAATTTGACCCTTAAAAATATGATAAATTCTATATTAGTCCCTAGCTGTAATATTAGCTTTTAAATATTTATTTGATGAATAATTGAGGGTGATTTAGTAAATTATTACCAATTTTATTATTTTTTATTATAAATTAGATTTCAAAAAAAATATTAAATTTTGGGTTTTTGAGAAAATTGATTAGTTAGTTCAAAAACATATAGAGTTATGGAATACACCTTTACTTAGTGTATTAGATAGGTTAAATGGTATTTCAAGTTGTTCTTGAATATGTCTCTTTTGTATTCAGATAATCCTAATATTCTACCGACGGGATATTAGTAGGATTTTATTCGGTGTCTACTTTTGACTTCTGTTTGCTTTTGAGTCAGGTGAGTGGATAATTTTTCATATACATAAGAAATATTATAAATATTTTATTTTTTAATATGAATTGAATCATGCTTCTTGATAATATATATACTGATTATTATCGTTGTTATGATAAAGCATGATCACTTGTTAAATCTGAATTCTTGATATGAACCAATATATATTTTGAATTGGCTTATGAATTGATAGCTTCTCATTTGATTGATGTCATAAGTTGAGCCTTGAGATATGAATATATTGGTTTGACTATGTTTATGAACCTATGGTATGTTAGTTAAAATACCTATGCTAACAAGGTAGTGTTAGTCTTTGTGCATATCGTATCTAAACCCTAGTTGGTCGGGGGAGTCACCAACCTATGTGGACTAATCATCTCACAGTACGGAGCTTCATGCTCATTGCATTTTGATTTTCTAACGAGCTTTACGTTATGATATTCTTGTTATGATCTATTTGAGGAACCTTCCTATAAGAACCTAAAGCCAATTGTATATATATTTTTCATTGTTGTATTACTTCATGTGCGTATATTGAACATTATCTACTCACTAAATTGTTGAACTCATCCTCTTATTATTTATCCTTTTCAGGCTTATAGCTTGATAGCAAGTCACTTTTGTTGGACCTTCTGAACCTGCTTTTTGTTTGAAATTTATATCTTTCTTTTTATCTAGTTAGCACTCCAAAACTATGAATTTATATGAACTCTTGTATTAAGATAATTAAATTATATTATGAAGTTAGTTTGTTGTTAATATTGCATTGAACTCTGATCGAGTTGTTTAAAGGATAAGATTGTATGTGAGTGTGGGTTCGTATAGGTATAGAACCTTGGAGGGGAACCTTGTCTATGTACCGGTCATAGATCCGGGAATCAGGATGTGACACATGCATTCCTCATTATTGTATTACCTTATATATATATTTTAAAGTTATCTACTCACTGAGTTGTTTCTTTATGTCTAGTTAATGCTTCATAACTATAAATTTATATTAACTCTTGTATTAAGATAATCAAAATATATTATAAAGTTAGTTTTATTGTTATTGTTGCATTGAACTTTGTTTAAGCTATTTAAATGATAAGTTCATATGTAAGTGTCACAACCTAATTCCCAAATCCATGACCGGCATATAAGCAAGGTTCTCCTCTAAGGTTCTATATCTATATGAACCCAAACTTACTTAAAAACTTATCCATTAAATAACTTAATCGGAGTTCAATATAACACTAATAACAAAATAAATTTCATAATATAATTTAATTGTCTTAATACAAGAGTTAATAAAAATTCATAGTTGTGGAGAACTAACTAGACATAAGAGAAAATACAAATTTCAACAACAAAAAAAACAAGTTTTGATGGTCCAACAAAAGTGACATTGTAACAAGCTATAAGCTTGAAAAGGATAAATAAAGAGAGAGTGAGTTCAACAACTTAGTAAGTAGATAATATTCAATATACACGCACAAGGTAATATAACAATGAGGAATATATATACAATTATGGTTGTAGGTTCTTATATGAAGGTTTCTCAATCAGGCTATAACAAGAATATTGTAAGGTAAAGCTCGTAAAAAAAAAATACAATAAGCATGGGGCTCTATACTGTGAAATGATCTATCCACACAGGTTGGTGACTCCCCCAACCAACTAGGGTTCAAATACGATGTGCATAAAGACTAACACTACTATATTAGTATGGTTATTCTAACTGACATTAGTTCATAAACATAATCAAACAAACATATTTATATCTTAATGTTCAACTCATAACATCAATTAAATAAAGAGTTATCAATTCAGAAGTTAATTTAAAATATATATATTGGTTCATATCAAGAATTCAGATTCAACAATTGATCATGTTTTATTATATCAAGTACAATAATCAACACACACACACACATATTATGAGTTGAAAGGCTTTATTATCTTTTCCTACTTATTTACTTTCATAACATCATAGTAAGTTTGGATTCGTATAGGTATAAAAATTTAAAGGGGGACCTTGTCTATATATCAATTATGGATTCAAGAATTAGGTTATGCACAAAAACTAGGGTTCAAGTATGATATAAATAAAGACTAACACTATATTGTTAGCATTGATATTTTGATTGGTATAACGTAGATTCATATCATAATCAAACAAACATATTTATATCTCAAGACTTAACGCATAATATCAATCAAATGTTTTTGACTCATATTAACAATTCAAATTCATGTTTTATTGTAACAAGAATAATAATCAATATATATATATATATATATATATATATATATAAGAAGTATGATCCAATTCATACTAATAGCTTGGATATTTATAATATTTCTCATATATAAGATAAATTTATCCACTCACCTGACTCAAAAACAAATAGAATTCAAAAGCAAATAGAATTCAAAAGCAGATATCAGAGAAAATCTTACTAATGTCTTACAGGTAGAATGTCAAGATTATCTGAATACAAATGAGACGTATTAAAAAAAACTTGAAAAGAACATACAACCTATTTAATACACTTGCCTAAAAGTTTATTCCATAACTTTATATATTTTTGAACTAAACTAGTCATTTCTTCTAAAAACCTAAAACTTAAACAATTTCCCTGAAATTTAATTTGTAAGAAAACAAATAAAAAGAATTAGATTTTTAGCTAGGGACCAATCTAAAATTTTAGTAGATTTTTAGGGATCAAATTGTAATTTTGTCAAATTAGAGAACCATATTAAGACTATCATAAATTCATGACTGTAGTTGAATTTTGCTCATAATTCATCCTCAATTCTGTTTAGAATCTCTAATTATACTTTAGGGACCGTTTGGGAATTTTTTCAAATTTTTAAGGGTCAAATTGTAATTTTGACAAATTAGAGGACTAAAATGAAAATATCATAAATTCATAAATATAATATAATTTTGTCCATAATTCATCTTTATTTCTATCCAGAATCTTGGATTATGCTCTAGGGAACAATTTGTAATTTTTCCAAAGTCGAGACTAAACTTTAAGTTTCACAAATTGAGGGATCAAACTGAAATTTCATTATTTTCAACCTCAAACCCAAATTTTTTTACAGATCACCTGCTGATATATCAAGATTTATAACTCAAATTCACCCTTTAAACAAACTATAACTTAAAATCATTATCTTTACGTAAAATCTTCTAGAATCAACTAAACAACTCATTACACATAACAATCAACCTATAATATTCAAATCAATTCATCAATCAAACTTAAAAAAAAAAATTCATAACCTTAATATTCAACAAAACCAAAAAATAAAGCTAAAAAAAAACACATTTATATATATCAAAACTTAAATCTTACATTTTAACTTATTTTCTCTATCTCTTTTTTTTTCTTCCTTTATCTTTCTATCTTTTCTTTTCTTCTTTCCCTTTTCTTCTCTCTTGCACTCTCTCACTCAAGGTTGTTAAAAATGCTTTTTTGACACGACATGGAACATACAATATAAACTCGACTTGTAAACTCGAATCATAAAATCATAAGTAAAATATTTTAACTAAAATCATAAAATCGCAAGTAAAATATTTTAAACAATACAAATATCCTAACATCTTAAAATACATAATTAAAATAAAAGTAAAATAAACAATAAAAATATCCAAATATCTTAAAATACACAATTCAAATAAAAATTCATACATGTCCATAGTATTTTAATAACTAAAAGTTAATACATCTAAAACAAACAATCTATGGGTGTCATATAAACTAAACACACCCTCATTGCCTTTGTCTCCCTCATTATTCATAAAATAGTCATCAAAATCATTACCATCTAAAGGAACATTAGTGTTACTGCTAGTACCAGCACCGATATTAGAAACATTAGTGTTACTACTAGTACTAGGACTAACACCAATATTGTCAATAATATTTAACTCCAAGCACCTTGAATTATCTAGATTGACATCATTCTGAATCTTTAAATCATCTTAAGTTCCAGGACACTCCATCCCAACATCATTAAGATTTTCTTCATCATCACTTTCATCTTCTTTACTGTTTTCCCTTCGTGTTGTGCTATCAATGACACCAAGCAAATCAAACTTGGATGAACCATCATGTTTCTCTCCCTCGGTTATCCAATCATCATCAGATAAGAGATGATAAAAAACTTCACCAAAATCATTAGTTTGCCTTTTGACTTGGTTATCTTTTAATTTCAAATTGCACATTACAAATACCAAGTCATTCATTTTTTTTCTAGTGCAAACAATTTCTTTGTTTTGTATGAACCTATGTAAGCAATTCAAATTAATATCATATAAGATTCTTATAAAATATTAAAATATTAAAATTAAAAAAGAAAAAAACTTACCATCTCAATTGCACTTCAGTTTCGCTCATATCAAGATGAACTACAAGTCAAGCTTAGAATTGAATTGTAAATTTTTATAGCTCTGGACATTCATCCCTATAAGAATCCCACCATTTAGCTAGAGTTTTTTTATCCCTTGTTATCTTGGCAGCCTCAATACTGAACAACCCATTTGCATCATTGAATGAATCAAGTTGCAAGTCAATTTTATACCTTTCACTTGCATTGGGTACCATCCTTTTTAAGCATTGATATAATTTAATTTTAATATTGGCATTAACTTTAAAATTAAAATTATAATGATAATGAGGATTCAAATAATATGTTGCTGCATGTAAAGGTCTGTAAAGTTAAAGTTCCTATCTTGCATCAATGATATTCCATATAGGCATATAACTATAAAATAAAAATAAAAATATTATCATCAACATTACATGACCTAGCTAGTAAACATTATAATCAACTGATAATAGCAAATAAATAATTAGTAAGATATATAATCAATACCTTTTTTTCATATAACCAAAATTCACTCGTATCTTTTGTTTTGCTTGATCTAATGCGTCATATGTAAAACTCATAGCTGGTTTCTCATCTGAATCAACTAATTAAAGAACTTTTATCAGAGGATATGCTGCCTTAATACATGTAGTAACATTATGCCAAAACTTGCTATCCAAAACACAACTTTGAATTCGTTTCCCTTCTTCTGTTTTTGAAAACCTATATGACCTCCATTGGATGGAAGTAAACATTATCATCAACTTTATCTTACAATCACTCAAATATCCAAGAGTTAAGTATACAGTAACAAATCTAGTGGTAGCAGGCCTAATCAAATCCTTTCCTTTTGTAAAGTGTCTAAGAATGAAAATGAGAGTAGTTCTTGAATATATGTATGAGGTGATTCTCCTCCCATTAGCAATAGTTACTTAATGGAGCTCTAGTTTCTTCTCAAAATCTTCCAATATCAAGTCAATACAATGGGCAGCACATGGTGTCCAAAACAATCCTTTTATTTTTCCCGTCAATAATTGCCTTACTGCCTTATAATTTGCAGCATTGTTAGTGACTACTCACACCATATTTTCCTCTCAATCCTCTCCACAATAGCATCCAACATCTCAAATACTTTATTAGTAGTCTTGGATATATTAGAGGTATCTATGGATGATAAAAAAAATTATCCATTTAGGACTATTAACCAAAAAGTTGCAAATAAAACCCCTTTTCTTATCAGTCCATCCATTAGATATTATTGAGCAACCTGTTTTTTTCCATTCTAACTTGTACTTCTCAAGCAAGTTGATCATGTGATCTGCTTCTTGCTTCAAATTCTTCTCTCTAATATCATGGTAGGATGGAGGTTTAAAACCTAACTCATGCTTTGCAATTAATTCAAGTGTCTTGACAAATTCAGGGTTTTCACACAGTTAAATGGAATTGCATTGGTGTAGAAAAATCTTGCAATTTATCGACATGCTTCTTCTCTGATATCCTTTTTTAGCAGCTGATTGATTGTGGTTTGTGTACTTCCACTCCCACTCGCTACTCTCTTTCCTTTGTCTACTGAGGTAATTTCATTCCCTTCATCATTATCTTCATCTTTTTCAATATATTGAAAAGCCTTTCTTTTCTTTTCAGATGCTTCTTAATTTTTCATTAGAACATTCAAAATTGTCTTCTTTACATTTTCTGGTACTTGTTGGCATGGCTCAACATCCTTTCGAGTGCAAGCCAAATGATGCTTGAATGGTAAATGCCTCCTCCACTAGTAATTTTCTAACAAAACTTGCACTACACTTTTTTTAACTTCTTATCAACATCTATACCATATTGTCATCCCACGTCAAGTCTATTGCCACTTGTAGTTTTTTTAGATGTCATATATCCTACAGTTCAAAACCACTCTTGCTATAATGTTGGATAAAATTAAAATTATACATTCACACACCATTTTTATAGGAAACATTCAAGCAATCTGAATAGTAGAAAATAAAAGTTCAAGTATAAGCATGCCTAGACAAGCCTAAAGGTTATATATCACTAGGTAGATCAGGACAGTGATTAAGAAGTTTCCAAAGCCAACAACTCCATGTATCAAGATTAAGCTAAAAATGGTAGTGGAATGGGTGCACGCTCACATGATTTGACAGAACAAAGGAATAAGGAAGTTAAAGGAGACCAATTGCGTTACTTAAAATAATTGTTCATCACATTTAACTGATTGATAAACTAGAAAAAAAGCTTAATGAAATGCCTCAATCACTAAAACAAACACTAGTGTAGTAACCATTAACTCGTAGCATCTAGGTTATATCTTGGACATGATTTTGACAAGACAAGGAAATATGAAAGAACAAGTGCAATGCCAAAGCATGCAAATGGTTGCACTCTCTCCCCTAAAAAAAAGAAAACAGAATACACTCAATATAATGCAAACCAAATATCACTAAATCAAAGCCTTGCAGGATGATATCATTTGAGAGATGCAGTCCACGTTAAATTACTATCCAGTAATACATAAAAAGCCTAGATAAATTAAATGCAGAAGGAATTCCAAACAAGTGCATCAATTGTCCTAAAGTTTACAGTTTTGGATTTATAGAATACCTGCAATCCTGGTAATTGGAATGCTTCGTTGCTTCCTTACTTCGTTGAATCGTTGTCTATGCAAATTGCAAAATTACAGAATTTGTAACACCAAAGCAAGCAAGATCAAATAGAGCATAGGTGAACATTAAAAGAAATCACAACACACAACAGTAAATCATTGTTAGAAAGCTTCACAGAAGATAAACAAAGTTGCACATGAAATTACTAGCAGCAGTGCAGCACCACTCCCCCTTCGAAAAAATACTCAGAAGCAAACCACTTAATTGTAAAATACCTAGAAGATAAATAGTGAATTTCATAGCATACCCAGATCCTTTTTTGTCTTTAATCACCACCATTAGATAAAAAAAAAAACAAAGCTTGGGATTGGGAATCAATTCTTACCTTCATCTTGCCAAGAACGCTCCGGATCGAGGGGAAAGTGATTTCTTAATTTGTTGGGTAAAGGGGAAAGGAGAAAGGAGAAAGGGAAAAGGGAAAGTGAGAGAGTGTGATTGTGTGGGATAGGGAGGGGATGATTGGGTAAAGTTTGGAGTCAGGGAGAGTGTGAGATTGGGATGAAGTCACCGATAAGGTAAGGGTGGCCGCCTGGTTGATTGGGAATTGGAAAAGAAAAGAGATTGTGAGATAGGGATGAAGTTAAAAAATTTTGCATATCTAATTTTGTATTTGGTCCGGTGACATTTTGGTCAAGCTGTGAAAACGTAACGTTTTTAACATTTTTGCAAGTTATTATGGTTTTATACGATTTTGAATCAGTTTTATGCGATTTTAATTATTTTCGAGTTTTGCCTCCGTTTCTACATGTTTTATGGGTTTTAACTCGTAAATCATAAAACCCATAAAATCATACGATTTTACGAGTTAAAAATCATTTTTAACAACCATGCTCTCACTCTCAAATTTCACATGCCTTTTTCCTTTTCTTTTCTTTTTCTTTTTTTTCTATTTATACCTATTAAGTTTTATTCAATTACCATAATACATTTTATTTATTTATACCTGCTTGTAAGCCTTTAAGGGCTTCGTTTCTTTTTTCTAATCTCTTTTATTTTCAAAACATAACAAAAAAGTTTTATAGAATTTGATGGCATTGCCAAATGATAGAATCTTGTGATCTTGCGTAGTCTTATGAGACGTATTGCTTAGAAGCGAGGCTACAAATGAGTTTTTCAAGATGCAACCTAGTAATGCTGCCTCATAGCTAACTCCAGCAAGTGTGTTTGCAAAAAGCTGGATTATGGGACTCGGTAACTTAAATTAACCTGATGCGTGAAAAAAAAAAAACAGAAAATTGGAGGCATGCACTGGAAGGGCTGAGAAATCAATGCGGGATTGCAAAACCTTAATTTGGAAAGATGTAAGAAACTTGATATGTGCCTAGAAAGCTTAAATTGCAGGCAATGTTATGCACTGAAAGGATTTTGTTTCTGAAATGACAATAAAAGAGCGAGGCCATTTGTTTTGGATAACAGAATCAGCGGATTCCACAGGAAAAAAAATAATTCTGTTTTTTAACCTAAGATCTAGACTTGGATGCTTACAGGGAAGCCTTTTCTGAATGTTTGGGCATAATTGTAGGCAACTTGT